TTGTTCTATTTTTACTTGTATTTTATTTCACTATTATCTCATTTCAGGTTTATTTTGCCTAATATAATTGTTATTTTCAGCTATTCATTTTTAATTCTTCTTTTTTAGTTGTTTCAGGGATTTCAAATCATTTTATATAGTAGACAATGGAAGTCCGAACTAGTGAAATTCAAAATCATGTTTATTAATAATTTTGGTGACAGTTACGTCTAGAAATTTTGTTGAATTATTTACTTCCATTTCAGTGGTGAATTTAAAGGATGGATGAATATAATTAGAAAATTCGAGGAACTTTTCCAACTGCCCACCTATACCAGTAAAATAGACTAATATAATTGCCTACTTATACACTGGTAAAATTATCAGTCATTACCTTGGTAGAAGATCACATGATTCGAATTATTATTGTATATACAACAAATTGGGCATAATTTAGTTTACTTATGCGCCTCTCTGTCACAAATGTGAAATTTGCCTTGGCATTCAATAAACTACTCCTTTGCTCGCATAAAGTTTCTGGCAAAAACCATGTTCACGTTCAATGACTTGTTAAAATTTCTTTTATGGTATTTGAATTTTTAATTAGTTTTTACCTAAACTCAGGTAAAACTATTGATCATTAAGTAAAGGGAAGGTCCAATGATTCAAACTGTTATTATATGAAGCACAAATTGTACATATACATTCACTGGGTTGGTAAAATTTTCTTTAAGGATGTTTCAAAAATTTCAATTAGTTTTTACCTATACTCGGGTAAAAATTAGTCATTCCTTAGTAGAAGGTCACATGATTTGAATTGTCATTGTATGAAGCACAAATTGAGCAGAATTAACAAAGTTTTCCATACCTTTGATTCATGAGATAATATTTAATTCAGCAACACTACAACTGCCACCAAATCTGAATTGATTTATGCCAAAATAATCATTATAATTGAATATATATTTTTATCAAAGTACTTGTATTGAACAAAAAACTGTAGATTAGTGGAATTGGAACCTATGGCAAAATATGACTATTAAAAACGTGACCATGGAAATATTGTGATCAAATACAGGCTGATTCACGGTGGATGGCACATTAGACGTTTCTGGTGAACCAGACAACGGATCGCTTTGAAAATTTAATGGAGGGCATATTCGGACATTCTCTAGCCAACTAAAATATTTTCGACAATGCGGTGTTGCCGCTTCTATTAGAAAGCAGTAGCAACTTTGATTTTTCAAATGGAACACTCTGTATATAATATTATTTTTGGAATCTCCAACAATTGCC